GAACAAACTGATATTTTTCTACGATCACTATTCAAAGTAGGCTTTGCGCTTCGAAATACAACTGCAAAGTTTTCCGCGAACTGACACTTTGTCGCTCGCCGCGCGACAAAATTGACAACTTTGCTGCTCGCATGTATGTAATTATATGTTTTTTGTTTTATTATTTAAGTTAAAATTAACTTTAAATATCAACTCATTTTTTATGATTATGGTAGATATATGCACTACTTACGACAAATGTTCTGTCTCAAGCGGTTAAGTGTCACTTTTTGATCTTAATTAGGCTACCAAACAAAATGGCTGGCATTGGGTTTTGACAGGTTATCATGTGCTTATGGATATGGCAACCTTGTGGGCCTGGTGTTTTGACAGAGTTAATGATATAGATAGTAAGTAAAAATGTAGGTAATTATTTATTTTACGAATTCAAAGGCTGAAAATTGGTTTTTATAATAATAATATTAATAATAATAATAATAATAATAATAATAATAATAATAATAATAATAATAATAATAATAATAATAATAATAATAATAATAATAATAATAATAATATATAATAATAATGTTTATTTACCAGAAATACATACATTCAGATACAATAAAATCCAATAAGAAATAAAATGTAAACAAACAAGAAATGTGTAACTGAATCTGCTCACTGTACAGTACAATGACAGATTGTGTGTGACAAAAATACGACAAAATAATAATAATAAATAAAACTTTATAACTATAACAATACAATAGTAAGAATAGAATTTAAAACATATTTCCGCTAAATTGATTTTGAGTAATGAAAACTTACTAGGCAATATGGCCGCTCGCAAAACAAACGCTTTGAGCAATCTATACAACCCACATACTTTGATTTTCTTTTACTATACGGAGAATGGTCGCACTGCGCAGCTTTCTGAGTGCCTTTTAAAAGGAGATAGAAAACTCCGCCATTTTGATCCCTTATTACGTGTTGTCTACATCTTGGCGCTAAATTTTTAATAGGTGCGTTTTAATCATCCGCTTCTGCTTCGGAATTGTCGGTTTTCTTGTTTTAATCTGACAGGTTAAAACGACTAAACCGACAATTCCGGAAGCAGAAGCGGATGATTAAAACGCACCTGATATTTTGCTTGCTGCTGTCAGTGTCAGTCATGTGGTGTCAGCACATACTTTGATTTTCTTTTACTATACGGAGAATGGTCGCACTGCGCAGCTTTCTGAGTGCCTTTTAAAAGGAGATAGAAAACTCCGCCATTTTGAACCCTTATTACGTGTTGCCTACATCTTGGCGCAATATTTTTAATAGGTGCGTTTTAATCATCCGCTTCTGCTTCGGAATTGTCGGTTTTTTTTGTTTTAATCTGACAGGTTAAAACGACTAAACCGACAATTCCGGAAGCAGAAGCGGATGATTAAAACGCACCTGATATTTTGCTTGCTGCTGTCAGTGTCAGTGAATATTATTTTTGAAGTCACAGTTTATTGCTAAAGAATCAGTTAGCTCACTCGGACCAGTTGAAAGTTCCAAAATAACATCCACTCCAGGGATACAAATTCAGGATACGCAGAAGACTGCTGTTTTATTATAGGCGGTTGTCATATAATGTATTATCCGAGTTGCACAGTGTATAAACTGAAACATTGAGATCAAAAATGCCGACGCAGAGTTAACAATCTGATTCTTTAGCTGTAAACTGTGTCACAGGGTTCAAAATAACCGCGCCCTATGTTGGGCGTGTCGGACCTCTCTCTTGCCTCATATAGTAATCAAAGTATGTGGGTGTCAGTCACATTCCGGGCACATACTTTGATTTTCTTTTACTATACGGAGAATGGTCGCACTGCGCAGCTTTATGAGTGGCTTTTAAAAGAAGATAGAAAAATCCACCATTTTGAACCCTTATTACGTGTTGCCTACATCTTGGCGCAATATTTTTAATAGGTGCGTTTTAATCATCCGCTGCTGCTTCGGAATTGTCGGTTTTCTTGTTTTAATCTGACAGGTTAGAACGACTGAATCGACAATTCCGGAAGCAGAAGCGTGTATAAACTGAAACATTGAGATCCAAAGTGCCGACGCAGAGTGAGCGATCTGATTCTTTAGCTGTAAACTGTGTCACAGGGTTCAAAATGGCCGCGCCCTATGTTGGGCGTGTCGGACCTCTCTCTTGCCTCGTATAGTAATCAAAGTATGTGATACAACCAGATATGTATCATCAATCCTGTCAAGGACAGCAGGCCACAGGTTTGTCATATATAAACTGTCAATTCCCACGTGTCAGCATTTTGACAGGTCGTTGGAATGCCTAATAAACAAATTTTATTATTTTATTTGATTTATTTCCGAAATTAACTTGATTGTTTTACTTCCTTATTTACGTCTTCTTTTGCGCGTTTCTTTTTCTATTCTCCACTTCCCTCTTCGTGTTAATCGTTTCTCTGATGGAACATTGTAAATAAATCACCCAACCATTTTCGTCAAAGTGTAGTCCAGTTCTTCTTTATGATCTTTGTCTTTACGATTTAAATTTTTTCGGACCATCTTTTAAAATGCGTAATATTTCAGCTATACCAGTTAGAAAAGCAGTTTCTTTCAAATAGCTTCCCGTTTGTGTAACTTGCGTACTTGCGGATGGTCATGAGTTCGAATCCAGGAAGACGATCAAAGACAAAAAAATGTTTAAATAGAGTGTTTGTAGGAACAAAAATTTTATTACCTAGGTTGGTTATTAGAAAAAATTGATAAACATTTATTATTTTATTTATTTTTAAATGAAACAAAAAATTCTAATTGCTATGTTGAAAATGAGTGTATATAAGTTGAAAAGGTGCTTTTGTCTACAAAATCGCTGTATAATAACTGCTACTCAAGCTATTTAAAAGTTGAAGAAGCACTTCCTCTGTCTACTTTAGGCATAAATAAAATAATAGCATTTTTATTTGGCCCATATTTAAAAAAAAAATTTAATCGAACTATATGATACTATATTAATTACGAGTATTAAAATCAAAATCCTAAAAGCGAACGTGGACGCAAGGACCAAGCTCTTGCCTTCCTCGCGGAAAGCCCGGCATTGAATCTCGGCTGGTGACTAATTAAATAAAATCTTTTTTTTTTCCATGTTTATTTTATTTTAAAAATCAGTAAAATTTATAAATTATTTTAAAATTAGTTATTTTGTCTTAATAACCTAAAATATATTTTTTTTTATTTGTTAGATTTTCTATACTGGATCGTAGAAAAAATATACTATACAACTCGAGTGGATTGTCCATATCGCACTCAGACGACTAAGCACTCCGTCTTCGTGCGATATGGCCATCATATCCACTCTTGTTGCACAAACTACTATTCCCAAACAATTTCCAATTCCTATCAATAGTTGAATAATCAATTTATGAGTCACTAATTTAATTTTAAACCAGATATATTAATTTCTTTTGTTTGTTTATTTTTTTAATCTGTTGAATTTTTTCGTCTTGTTTTATATCTTTTCTTTTTGTGTTCCTTTATTTCTATTCTGGTACGTATTTTTTTATTTCATTTTTCTTCATTCTGTTCTTTTCTAATTGTCGGTAACAATTATTTGTAAGTTTTTCTTGATTCGTTATTCTATGCATATCTATTATCATAGCTGTTTTCATTGTTTTACCTTGTTCCTCAGAGCATTCTAGTTTTTTGATTGTATTCCTGTTATTTTCATTGTTTCGTTTCTTTCATCCTCCTCTCTAGAAGTTCTTTCATTTAATATTAATGCTGTCTTTTCATTTTGGAGTATTTTCTTTGTCTGCAGACACTAGTTCTTGACTCTCGTTCTCCCAAGTTTTTATATTCTCAAAGGTATACTCTGCTCTATTTAATTTTAATTTATTCTATTTAATTAGTTCTTTATTTTCTTACTTTTCTGCCATCTGCATAAGTTCTATTCACTTTTTCCTTTGCAATTGCCAAAGAGGAGAAAAATGAGAAACGTTTATCCTTCATTTCTACGTTTAGTATTTTAAACGTTTTGTGCTTCTTGTTTATATTATAAATTGCAAAAATTATAAATTATTATATTGCTCATTTTAAAATATCACTCAAGTTTCCTAACTTTTAAATTTTTCTGTATACCTAAAGTATTCTGTATAATTTCTTTATTCTAAGGAGTGATCCACACAAAACGTAGGCCGTGGAAGAATTCACGTCAAGCAAACCATTCTTATTCTTTATAATAGTCAGTTTGGATTCAATTCACAGCCAATCGTAGTTATCACGTACATGGCTCGTATCTTTGTTTTTATAAGTAATGGCCTACTTTAGAAACATCTTTTGTGGATCACTCTTTATAACAAAAATGGGCATTGATATGGCAACCCTGTGGACTGGTGGATTTGACAGATAGTTATATAGATTGAACATACATATGACAATCTATATAACTAACTGTCAAAGCCCACAATGGAATGCCTAATAGTATAGGAGTAATGAACTGAAATTGAATTAACAATAATTATGCATTAAATTGTGAATTTAATATATCATAGATTGCAAATCGAAATCCGAAAGGTCAGAATTATCTAAAATAAGTTTTTAAATAATTTAAAAATTCGAAAATAAATCTCAAAAAGATATGATTTAAAATGCATTTCTCATGTACACCGATGATGCATTGGAGATATTTGTAGATTTGAGCAAATACCAGAACGTCGTCTGGCTAGAACAAATGTCATTAATTGCCTCGCGGTAAGGGCACACGTCCGGACAACGTGGAGGTCTGGGTTCGCCCCCCTGGCGATGTCAGGTTTTTTCTAAACCTACAAGTATTTTTTTCACCCGTGTGGTCTGGAAATGGTCTTATTAATTCGTAGGGGGATTTTTAAGTTTTGTTTCCGAATTTTCAAATTATTTAATTATGCATTAGGTGTATAGATACACAATTTTACAAATCTCGATATTGTCTGAATTTAAGAAACATGTAATTTTTATTTTTATTTGTTATAAATATGTTTTTGCAGCAATCGAAAGGCCAATAAAAGCCTATACTGTGAGGTTTGCGGGGAATATTTCAGATCCATAGATCATATCTTAGGAGGAGACAGTAGCGTTTCATGTACGAAATGTCAAACAAAGGTATGCCAAAAACGTTGCGCAAGAGAACAAAAAGACGGATGGATTTGCAAGAATTGTCTTAGACCGCCAGAGTCCTGGTTTCAAGGAATATTGTACGCCCTTCAACCTAATAAGAAAGGTAAACATGCAAATTATGTATTTCTTTAAGGAATATTATAATAATCCTATGAAAGAACAAAAAAATCATTATTCTTTATCTAAATAACTAGTCCAGTAAGACAAAAGATCGCGCCTACAAATCGAATATAAATATTATGTCTCTGTCTATATACGAGTATTAAAGAAATAGTATACAGAAAATACATATAACGAGTCATCAACAATATCCTTATCTGACGATGTCTTGTAAAACCAGAAATTTAATGAAAATATCCGTTTTTAGTGACTTTTATGATAAGTTTCCTATCAGTTACCTGGTTTTAAGGTTACTACTGAAGTTATTAATGTTAGTTTTTTCCAACTGGGGACATTAATTTAGTCACGTGGTATATAGGTATTACTGAAGATTCTGTACCTCTTTTTTAACTGTTCCTTCACATTTTTTCCAACAAAGAAATCATTATTATGAAAAATATTTATGTATTTATATTCGATTCATCTCTTAAATACAATATAAAAATGATAAATAAAGAGGTAGTACATGTTCATCTGTATCGAAAACATTTTTAAACGGTAACATCCAGCAAATATTATCAAATTTTGTCTCCAATGCTGAAATATGTTAAATATCTTAAACAGACAATTAATTTATGACAGCCGTAAAATATATCGCCCATCTTTTGATCATCTCTCGATTATCTCTCGATTATCTCTCGATTATCTCTCGATTATCTCTCGATCATTTCTCGATCATCTCTCGATTATTTCTCGACCATCTCTCTATCATCTCTAGATCATTTCTCGACCGATCTTTTGTTCACTATTATTGGTTTCATCAGTTTTTTTTTATTGTTTTTCTACGCTAATTATTGACTAGAACTATAGCACTCTATTTCTTATCACAATAAGTTCAGGCACCAGCAACTGATTGTTAAAAAAAGAGAGTAAAAAACACATTGTATTTGCAAAATGCATACATAAAAATTGCAAAAGATCTACTGGCTGCTACTTTTTATGTTAGAAAACTTACCGACTTGTCCCATTAGGACGACCCTAGAATTACTAAATCAACTGTAATAAGTTACCTGATTAAAACATCAAGAAATTGTAAATTGTCATCTGTCAAATTTTTATCGGCGGGCGTAATTTCGGCCGGTATCCCCTCGCCTACCTGCCAAAAGCAAAGTGCCCATCTAATGGCATAGGTAATTTCGGCCGAGGATAATGTTTATGATAGGATTTTGGAATATACCTGAAAATAATAATCTACCCTTTTCATATTTCCATTTCTTAGAAAAGTTAAAACATTTACATTCATCTTTCTTAATTTGATTTTCATTAGTTTAACAATGTGATTACCTAATTACAAAGTACCGAACCTTTTAAAATTAAGATACTAACCACTTATTTTGTGGGCGACCAAGAGATAGAAAACATCTATATTACATGATGGCAGTTTCGATAGTAAAGAGTTCACGCGGTTGTGACTTGCTTATTGTAGAAAAATTTTCATTTTGTAAACAAGACGTATTAAAGAGTGGGGAAGTGCGTTGGAGGTGCATCAGGAAAAATTTAAAATGTTTAGCTAAATTGTATACTGTTGGTGCCGAATATATTGTGACCAGGAGTAAGTTAACTCACAATCATGAACCAGATCAACGTTCTTTGCAGAGAAAAATTGTCACAAATGCATGCAAGCGAAAAGCCCAAGAGGACATATCGGAGAAACCTTCGAAAATTAAAAAAAGGGTCCTTTCAACAAATTTACCGGACGAATTGATTACCGCGGATGTAAATCTCATAAGAAGAAATGTGTATAACAGTCGTCGTCAGCTCTTGCCAGCCCTGCCTAAAGATATTCATGAAGTACATACTGTAGTTGATATATATTCTCCTAAAACGACAACAGGTGAAAATTTTTTGTTTATTAACAGTTCAGTTGATAATATCATTGTTTTTTCTTGCCAAACAAATATTACTACGTTGTGTAAAATGAATGTTATATATATGGATGGCACATTTTTTTTTTGTACGAAATATTTTTATCAATTATTTACCATTCATGGCCTGGAAAATGGGCACTATATACCTCTTTTATATTGTCTGTTACCAAATATGACTGACTGCTGACACATATATTACACTTTTTCTGTTGCTTAAATCTAAAATTTTGGAAGTTTTTAATATAGTTTTTGAACTGATGGAGGCATTCGTAGATTTTGAAATATCAATACATATCGCACTAAGAAATGTTTTGTCAAAAACGAAAATAAATGGTTGTAGATTTCACTTACATCAAGCGTGGTACAGGAAAATTCAGTCTTTAGCCGAAAATACCTATACGATAAGAACGAACCCTTAAACCTCCGGCCGAAATTACATATCCCCTTTAGGTACCTGTCCTTTTTCCGGCCGAAATTACATCCACCCATTTTTATTTAGGTGAGGTCCCACAATAAATCTGAAGAATAATAAAAAATCACCCCTTCAATCTACGGGTTGAATTGTTTTTAGATTTTCCTCTTTATTTGTATCATTAACATTGAAATTTTTCAGTATGGGATTAAAAAGCATGGAATCAAAATACTTTTCGACAATTTAAAAGTTAGTACATTCCACAAACACACAAATTATAAGAATTCATAATTTAAACTAAGATAAATTAAAATAATTGACAACAATCTGGAGCAGCAATATTTCATAATATAGAATAGACTGTGCCTATTTACCATTAAAAGTCAACTATTATTTTTTTTGCCTCAGAAATGTCAAACTAAGATATTGAAATGAACTCTATTTTACGAAATAATTTAATATTCTCCTAAATTAGATTACTTGCTATCAACATCAGATTGAAATAAATCATGATTTATATTGTAATTACAATTTTCTTTTGTATTGTAAACAAAGTTCGCGTGTTTAGTCGTTTTAAGATCAAGTTTGACTTGTTTCTTTTTAATGTACCAGACGGGTAGACATGGTAATTAATACACAAGTATTTATTTAATGAGTGAATGTGACCTTCTGTTTAGAAGGAAAAATATTTCTAAACTTTAACGGAATATTTATATTTTTGTTTAAAAATCAAATTAGTTTGATTTATTTATTTCACTATAAAAAGTTTATTTTCAAAAATAAACAAAACTCATTAAAAGTTTTTTGTTTCATATTATGATGCCTTATTTACATTTGTATCCGATGTTTCGTAAATGCAGAACCACCATTAACTTTTTTATTTGAATATGGACCAGTGTTATTCCACCATTTTAATGCATGTTCAATATTTCAGAAGATTTGAATATCAGATAAATACGGACCTGTACGTTTGGATTATTAAATTCTGTATTATTGATTTTAACAATTATGAATGTTAAATACCAATAATAAAATTTTTAACTGCGGTTGTAATTTTCACAATAAATGTTAAAATTACATAGTTAAAAATATCAAATTATAAAATATTTTATCAAATAAATTATTTTTGTCATCAACTATAGAATTAACAATAATAAAAATGTACGTTTGCCTTTTAAAAGGTAGATGCTTATTTCAAATAATTAATAATACAGGTCCGTACTACTCACTAACATTCCTCATAGAGACTTTTCTTGATATATTTTTAAACCGGTACTAAAATAATCTATACCTGAAGATGGCAGCAATTTCAGCCAATTTGGACGTTGGAAAGTTATTGTTTGACAATTGTTTGAGTCAGTCGATGTGTGTTTTTCTGAAAATGGAAAATCGAGCATCGAGCTTTAATTAATTATTTGTTTTTGAAAGGCAATACGTCTACACAAATCAAAGATAAGTTGGACGCTGTGTACGAGGACTCTGCACCATCATTTACCACTGTTAAAATTTGAGCATCTGAATTTAAACTTGGTAGATTAAGGTTTGGGACGTCTAAAAACTGTAAGTACTGACGACAACATCGCTAAAGCTCACCAAATGGTGCTAAATGACCGTCGAATTAAAGTGAGAGAGATAGCAGAAGCTATGAATATGTCCAAAGAACGTTTGTCACATATTAAATCAGGATTTAGACATGACCCGACATGTGCCGCGTTTGCTTACGTTAAACTAAAAACGTGTTCGGCGGAGTTTAGGCGCAATAAATCAGAATTTTGGGACCAATTAATTATTGTAGATTAAGCTTTATACCCGCGAAACAAAAATACAGTCAAAACAGCGGACAGCAAAGGGGGAATTGGCTCCAAAAAAAGCAAAAACAGTTTGTTCGGCTGGGAAAGTGATGGCGACTGTTTTTTGGAATATTCGTGGAGTTATCTTAATCGATATCTTCAAAAAAGAAAAAACCATTACAGGAGCATACTATGCATTATTACTTGATAAGCTGAAGGCGAAAATTGCAAAAAAACAACCACATTTGCAGAAAAAAATTCTGTCACCAAGACAATGCGCCGTCTCACACCTCATCGGTTGCCATGGCGAAAATTCACGAATTACAGTTTGAACTGCTTAACCACCCTCCTTACTCACCAGATCTAGCTCCAAGCAACTTCGTTTTATTCATTTAGTTTAAAAGATTTTCCATCTTCACATCTTTTCATTCTCACAACTTCAGCATTGCCACATACATACATATTTATGTTCTCTTTTATTTCCAGGAAAAAGTACTGGACATAATAATTTTCCTTATATTCGCTGGACTCTATAATAGGTAGATCAAAAGATTCATCAGGATTTTCTATAAAAGATACTTCATCATCAGTGTTTTCAGAAGCTTCCCATTTTTCCGATGTATCAGAATCAGATGTACTTTTTCTTCGTTGCAATTTCAATTCCTTTTTTTGATTAATTTTCTTTATAGGTTTTTTCTTTTCTTTATTTCAATTTCTTTTTCTTTTATCTTTCTTTGGTCCTCTTTCTTTTTTATCTTCCTCTTCTTTCTTTTTTTTCTCCTTGTTTTCATAGTAAATGTGCCATTGTTTTGATGTTACCACTGAGGAAATTTTTTCCTCCACTTGTCTTTTCTTTTTAATAAGTTTTGTTTCTTGCCCTTTTAAAAGGAGATGGTAATAATTTATCAATTTGGCTGATGCTGGATTTGGGATCCGGGCTACAAATAATTATGTTGCTGATAATTTTAATGGTTGTCATTTTTTTACTGGTTGATGGTACGGCTAATGAATTATTTATTAATTTATTTATTTATTTAAACGGGCATACACCCTTTTACAATATATGTACGTTTATAAAATAATAAAGTATCAACTTAACCTAAATAAAATAACAAAAAAAAAAACAATTGAAAGGTAAAATTAAAAATAAATTTAAATTAAAACAAATTTAAATTAAATAAAAAAAAAATAATAATAATTGAAATAAACCACAGTTCTAACTGATTCCAGGGCGTGACAAACAGAGTTGTCTCTTAAATTTATTGTAACAGGTTCCTATTATGTCACAGTTACAAAGGCGCATAATTCTAGATAATGGGTTAAAATAACCGTAGTTTGTTCTATGTTGTGGAAGCTCAAACAAAACTACATTTCGTGTTAACCTAGCTGGTACACGAAATGGCAACGACGATAATATATCCTTACAATTTATTTTACCTGATAACACTTTATGAAAAAACAATAGGTCATTAATACATCTTCTTATAAATAAAAATTCAAGGTTTAAAAGTCTTACAATCGTTTCGTAGTCGTAAGTACCCTGTGCGTATCCCATTCTGTGAGCGCAGATTCTCAGAAACCGATTTTGAATAGCTTCCAGTCTTTGGATATGCACCGAATAATGCGGAGACCAAACAACAGATGCATATTCAAGTGTGGATCTAACATAGGCTAAGAATAAGGTTCTTAATGCTGCAATACTCAAGTCTTAACATCTGCAAAAGATTTTTCTTTGGCTTCTGCTGTCTGTCTGCTGTCTTCTTTTAAATCTTTGTTGTTTTCAACGTTTTCTTTGTTGTTAGCCTCGACTTCTGCTGTCTGTTTGCTCTCTTCTTTTAAATCTTTGTTTTCAACGTTTTCTTTGTTGTTATTATCGACTTCTGCTCTCTGTCTACTGTGTTTTTCTTAATCTTTGCTGTTTTCAACGTTTTTTTTTTTGTTGTTTTCCTCGACTTTTGCTGTCTGTCCGTCTGCTGCCGTATTTTAAATCTTTGTTGTTTGTAACGTTTTCTTTGTTGTTATCATAGACTTCTGCTGTGTGTCTGCAGGCCATTTCTAAATCGTTGTTGATTTCAACGTTTTCTTGTTCTACTTGTTGCTCTTGCAGAATCGGCTGGTGTGCAAAGTTAAATGTCCATCAATAAATAAACTGGTAATTCTATATGCTCTTTTAATAACCAGGGATGAAAAACATTTGTTAGAAACTCAAAAAACGTTTCTCCCGTCATCCACCCGGTTTCGGATTTACCTATCCCCAGTTTCTAGGCACACTTAAAGCAATATCTCTGGGGATACGTTTACATCGGAATAAAATCACGGGAAGAGCCAAATTTCCAGATGCATTCCTGTCATTAGTACAGTAAGACATTCCTTTTCTTCCGAATTTACAAGTTGATATACATTTCTCGCCCCCTCCTTTGCCAAAATTCTTTCCTCTTTCAGATTAAAAAAAAAATGCCACCTCATCGGCATTAAAAACTCGTTCGGAAACATTTTGTATCATATCATCTTTACTGGATTTTAGATACGTAATAATTTCAGAAAACCATGCATCTAACTGAGTTTTTGTAACAGAAGATATTGTCGATGTTAAATTTTGAGGAGTTCTGACACCTATTTGTGGATTTCTTTTTAAAAAAAGATGGTACCACTTTTTCCGGGTCTATTGTTGATGAAAGGATTGGTCTTTTTAGATCCACTATCGAGCAATTGCTCCTTGCCTATTGGAAATCCCGCTTTTGTCATATAAATAATCCAGTTGCATAAAATATTTTCTTCTTCTTTAGTCAGATACGACTTTACGCCCATTTGAGCATTTCTGGATTATTCTCCTCGATATTTATTCTTAGCACATTGTTTTTTTGCTGAAGTGGCTACCGGCATTTCCCTATCACAGTCTGCTAAAGCAGCAGCCATATCTTCGGGATTGTATTTCAGAAGTTGTCTTCTGCTAGTGGCCATATTTCTGAAAACTGAAATGAACCATTTGTTGACACGAGTTATCCCAAAAGTTGTCATGTATTGGTTCTAAATTCGTTATGTCTTTCAAACTCATATCTATCTGTTTCTTATTATTCCGACATTAAAATGAAATAAAAAAGGTTTAAAAATAGTGTTTAATGCCATGGAACCACATACTTTGATTTTCTTTTACTATACGGAGAATGGTCGCACTGCGCAGCTTTCTGAGTGCCTTTTAAAAGGAGATAGAAAATTCCGCCATTTGGATGCCTTATTACGTGTTGCCTACAACTTGGCGCAATATTTTTAATAGGTGCGTTTTAATTATCCGCTTCTGCTTCGGAATTGTCGGTTTTCTTGTTTTAATCTAACAGGTTAAAACCGACAATTCCGGAAGCAGAAGCGGATGATTAAAACGCACCTGATATTTTGCTTGCGGCTGTCAGTGTCAGTCACATACTTTGATTTTCTTTTACTATACGGAGAATGGTCGCACTGCGCAGCTTTCTGAGTGCCTCTTAAAAGGAGATAGAAAACTCCGCCATTTTGATCCCTTACTACGTGTTGTCTACATCTTGGCGCAATATTTTGAATAGTTGCGTTTTAATCATCCGCTTTTGCTTCGGAATTGTCGGTTTTCTTGTTTTAATCTGACAGGTTAAAACGACTAAACCAACAATTCCAGAAGCAGCAGCGGATGATTAAAACGCACCTGATATTTTGCTTGCTGCTGTCAGTGTCAGTAAATATTATTTTTGGAGTCACAGTTTATTTCTAAAGAATCAGTTAGCTCAGTTGGACCAGTTGAAAGTTCCAAAATAACATCCACTCCAGGGATACAAATTCAGGATACGCAGAAGACTGCTGTTTTATTATAGGCGGTTGTCATATATTGTATTATCCGAGTTGCACAGTGTATAAACTGGAAGATTGAGATCAAAAGTGTCGACGCAGAGTGAGCGATCTGATTCTTTAGCTGTAAACTGTGTCATAGGAATCAAAATGGCCGCGCCCTATGTTGGGCGTGTCGGACCTCTCTTTTGCCCCGTATAGTAATCAAAGTATGTGGTTGGTCATGTCGGACCTCTCTCTTGCACCGTATAGTAATCAAAGTATGTGCATGGAACCAAAAGTTGACAGTACTGTCGACTTTAGGGCCATTAACAGATTTTAGTCACCAATGCTCCTAATATATGCTTATAGAGCTATAAAAAATGTTATTTAGAAAATATAAAATATACCTTAGCTATTATTGATCAAAATTTTCTTGTTTCTTATCGTTTTTGTTAAACAAATTCACAAAAAGCCGACAAATGTGTTCACCTGTCAGTACATTTGACCACCATTTTGTATTTAGCAGAGTTTAAAACCCTAATTTTTCCTATTTAATTAAAGATGCCTATAGTTGTACTATGTGGACCATTTTAAACAAAGACAAAAGTACACGATCTCTTATTTCGGATTAGTTTCGGTTTTCGGTTGAACTGTCAACCTTTAGTACCCTGTCAACAAATGGGTACTTTACCTTCTTCGGTCATTGTGAACTCCCAATATTTGGGTCACGAGCCGACACTGATCTACCCAACGAATACTAAATTTAATTTAGATATACCATAGGTCCCAAGTCCATAATTCTTATTACATATGCCGACGAAACCTCTGAATTTACATTCTGAGGGTTTCGCAAAATGTCTGGTAAGGATTTAGCGTGCCCACCGTTGCTAGTTATTAAGTCTAGAAGTTATAAATAGGCCCTATATTAAATAAGAAAATATATTTCTATAAAAATAAACAATTATTTTGATTCATATCATTTCTTTAAAATATTTATTATTCTTTTCACTCCTTAGCGAAAGCAGAAAATAAAATGGACCCTGTTAAAACATCTTTAGAAGAAAATAACAACGGTAAAACTAGAGAGCAGGTCCAAGACTTTATAGAAAAGTTGATCAATTCTATGTTAGGTCAGAACATAGACGATGCCAATGTTACCAAACTTTACAACGACAAAGGCTGTAAGTACAGTTTTCTTATTTATAAACAAGTTAATTTTAATAATTTTAATTTTCATCGTAATAAGTTGAATCTAAAATCACTCTAAAATACCGAAAATACTAAAATTATTGGTTAATCATAAAATATCTATAATGATTCATGTTTAATGATGGTACTTGAACAAATTTTCCAAATATCCTGGTTATTGTTTGTACTAAGAACGTACTATTTGTAATTAATAACTCGATTCAATAGATCTGGTTCCAAAAAAAACTGAAGATTTGATGAAATAAAACTTTCACTTGAATGATTTATTAATTTATTTACCTATATTTTTTAAACATAGACAGTCAGTCAGTCAAAAATTGTGTATCTTGGAGTTTTTTTACTCTTTAATACAAGTAACTTAATTTTAATAGTATACAGAAATGTATATGATGAGCTTCACTTAAACGTTGTCAGCAAAAGTAATTGTATTGATGCAGATCTTAATCAAAAAGACACATCCATGGTTCTAAGTATGGACCTATATATAAAACTACAATCATATATTCCCATTCTAGTAGAGATCATTAATGTTTTTATAAAACATAACAAATCCAACTACGCACCAATTTAAGTATATTTATAATTGATCATTTTTTAGGGAACAATTATTGTCATTATTTACAATAGCCAATTTTGTTTGTCTAAAAATGATGTTCAAAATAGAAGAAAAAAACTAATTATTTTCCCTTGAACCTATTTTCTTTGAGAGATATTAGTTATTGTATAAAGTTTATGGAGTGGAATTCATTTCTACAAGGAAGTCTTTTGGAATCAGATCAAACAAATTGCATTGGATACCCTAAAATGGTATTTACGCGCGCTAAAGAATAAAATGTGTAGCAAAATTAAAGATTTTCATAATCATTCATATTGACATTATTATATATTTGCAGATAACAAAATTTTCGAAAAATATCATCATGACCTCAGTAACGCCCTAGTAGAATTAGGGACTAGTTTACATAATTCTATTGCTCGTAAGTAACATTTTAAAAATTGCACGAAACAGCACTTTACATGTAGTGTATAGCACTAAAAATAAGATTGCTAAAAAATCACGTCAAATTTTTAAATGTAGTGTTATAAGAAATATATTTTTAAAGTTTTATTAATTAATTCCTATCTATTTATTTTAAATTCATTACACTAATTTTCCGTTAGTATCTCACATTTACATTCATTCGAGGGGTGAACGAGTCCTGAAATACTGGTACGTTTTCACTCGAAATCACTTAAAAATCATTTTCGAAATCATCACCGAAATAAATTCGTTGTTCAAAAACGTACGTAAATGCAAAAGACAAGGGAATAGCCAAAAAAAGTCATCGTATAAAATTAAGGAATTTTCAGCAAAATCACCGAAATCATTTTTTAGGTAATTTATATTCCGAAATACGGGTACGTTTTGACCCCTCCCATTCATCGGTTTCACCGATGACCATTGCGTTGAGAGCTGAATTTTGAAGCTTTCTGCTTCTTGAATCGATTTTCAGCGAAACTGGTAGTTATAGTCTAGTTAACAAGTGCTTTTTGGGTCAAAATTTTTTCGGCGGGTCCTTTTTGCCCACAAATCTCTGTTTTCTACCTGTGTAAGTAAAGGGGTGCGTTAATCTTACTGATATTTTGCCCACAGTAGCATTCAGGTACCTAAACCCGCAAATTACATCCGCCCACAAATAGGTACCTACCTGATTATTAATAATTCTAATAGGTACTTACTTTGGGTGTTTACTGTTTATATTTCAGTCAGTTTTTATACGTTGATGATTGTAATTCGAGTGTTTATAAACAATAATTATTTCTATAATGTCAGCTACATTGATTAAAAGCACACGCGGGAAAGATGTACTCCTTTTGGAGAATTTTACGTTTGCCAAAGATAGAGAAATGAAAAGTGGAGAAGTTTCTTGGAGATGCTCCCAAAGAAAAACAAATGCTTGTAATGCCACTGTATTTACAATTGGTCCTGAACTTTTAGTATCCAGAGGCAACCTAATTCATAGCCATGAAGCAAATGAACCGAAATTAAACAGGAAAATTATTTCTAATTCGTGTAAGCGAAAAGCAGTTGATGATATTTCGGAAAAACCTTCTAAAATTATCCGTAAAGTACTTGCTACTAATTTACCAGAGTCACTAACTACAATTGATGTGTCCTACATAAGAAAAACTATATACAACAGTCGTCGCAAAATACTACCAGGTCCATTACCTACAAATATACAAGAAGTGCATGATGCAGTTGACTTATATTCTAATACATTTAAAACCAGTAAAGGTGAACATTTTCTTTTAATAAATAGCAGAGAAAATAATATTATTGTATTTACATGTGAGACAAATATTCGTACTTTGTGTAAAATGAACGTCTTGTATATGGATGGAACATTTTCGTATTGTACAAAGTTTTTCCTACAATCATTTACCATTCATGGGCTGTGTAATGGACACTATGTGCCCCTGGTATATTGTTTATTACCAAACAAATCTACCGATATATACAAACATTTGTTTTCGTTATTGCATTATAAAATTTTGGAAACTTACAGTATTGCTTTAAATCCATCTAAAGTGTTCGTTGATTTTGAAATAGCAATTCATAAGGCGTTAATTTATATGTGGTCTAATACTGTAATCAATGGCTGCCGATTTCATCTACATCAAGCGTGGTATCGTAAAATTCAGTCTCTGGGATTAATGACTGAATATACAACTAACAGTGATACCGGAAAATGGCTTAAAACATCATTTGGGTTGACATATTTAAACGCCGATGAAGTTGGAGACTGTTTTGTGTTTGACTTAATGGCAAGTAAACCAGAAAATGCCGTTCTCGATAGGTATGCCGATTACCTATTAGAAACATATATTGAAGACAATTCTACATTTCCTCCAAGTATATGGGCAGAAAAAACAGCTTCAATTACAAGAACTACAAATGCCTGTGAGTCGTTTCATTCAAGGTTTAATTCTTCATTCTACTGTACACATCCTTCTGTATATATTTTTATAGAAAAGCTTAAAGACTTTCAAATCGACACGTATGTCACAATACAAAGCAGTGTTTAGAAAAATTTATACAGCGATTTGATCTGCAGCAAATCAGCAGATTAGAGTATATAAAATTTGTATCACATTTTTCCCTCCCAGTTGAAAACTATGTAAATAAAATATAAATATATAAAAAATATAATATAACTTATGTATACTTACTTTTTTATAATAATAAAAATTAGTGTTTAATATAATTTTTAGTTTAATTAATAATGTGTTTTTACTTTTCGATAATATATAAAAAATAATAAATGAAAGATATATGTATTATGATTTATTCAGTTAGAAATAAATTTGGGCAAAATACCAACAGGATTAAGATGACCTTTTACTTGCTGTGGGCAAATTACCTATAGGATTAGCAGCTTTAAATATTTTGTGGGCAAATTACCTCCGCCCAATTTTTTCTCCGTCTCCGAAAAATATGAATGAGGCGTCATTTAATTCGGAATAGCGTGCAGATTATTTTTGAAAAAATTCAAAAGCCGCTTGAAGAAATTGCAAAAGTTATAAACAAAAAACTCAAAAAAATAGGGTTTGGCTTTTTGCAAATATCTCAAAAACTATTTGACATTTTCCAAATTTGAAAAAATATTCGAAAAGAGGAGGAAATTTCCCACCTTTCGGAACTGTACGACCAATATTTATGATTTTCTCAGAGGGTTGAAAATACGGCCGAAAACGGAGACTCTGGCTTGCGTAAGCTCCGCCTACTGTGGACCTTTAATGATTAAATAATATTTAAACTTAATAAATATGAACATTACGAATTAAAAAAATTCTGGCGTCTACTGGATAGATAAATGAACAATAATCCACAATAAAAATATTTTATCACGATTTTTCTATTAATTAAGCATTAGTCAATTAACAATTTTTTTCTACTTAAACAAGAACATTGCAAGTGCGATAAATGTTAAATAACAAATCTGAGATTTTTCTTTTTTGGAGCAATTTTTGAACGGTCTCAGAAGAGATTCCCGTTGTAAAAATTAAAGAAATGTTACTTTTTACTTTATTATTAACAATTTACTCAAGTTAAAAATTGAAAAGCATAATCATTTATTAAAAAAAAAAAAAAAATTTCATTTATATTACATTGATCCCTTTTTTTTCGTCAGAAGCCAGATGAAAATTATTTTTAAAATTTTTTATTTCTTATCTTTTAAAAAAATATTATAAACAAATGCTTTATTTATAAGATAATTAATTTTTTTTGCAAATTATGATTAAAAAAATCCTTCCTTAAAAATTTTTTTTTATTGCTTAAAAACGGATTTGTTAATTAACAATTTTTTTACCACTTGTAATTATTATTAAGGAACTGTTTTTTTAAATCATAATTTATCTTTCTCTTTGATAACTTAAAAAAAATTGTTTTTATTTAAATTTTCATTGTTTATTTAATGAACAATTTGTTATAAATAATAAAAATTTTTTTATATATTTTTTTATTTTTGTACATGATGAAAAAAAAAACAACCATGTAATATTTTTTGGGAAAAAAATTATTTATATTTTTTATCGAATTTTATAATTACCCTTAGCTGTAACTCTACCATTCTCACCTTGTTTTTCGTCTTTTAAATTAATATAACTTATAAACTAATTAAGATGAAACAACTTTATTTATTTATTTATTCTTTATTAATTAAAGAACAAATTAAGCCCAAAATTCAAGCTTTTACCCAATTATTTATTTAATTTAGAGCATTTATTTATAAAAAAGAACTATCAGGAAATTTAATTACAGCTTAAGGTAATTATAGAATTCGATAAAATATAAATAAATTTTTTATCTTAAAAAATAATACATTGTTATTGTTTCAAAATGTAGAAAAATAAAAAAAATATATAAAAAAAATGTAATTGTTTATAACAAATTGTTTATTAAACATTTTGTTTTAGTTATCAAAGA